CTGCCACAGGCACACTGTGCAGCATCCAAAGCCAACACTCTACTCACATGTACATGTACTTGTCCAGCTTTGCTGCAAAGTGACGCGGCATCTCTCCACATCCATAATAGTTCCGGTCATTCTCAGGCAGATGGTCCACATCATGGAAGATCACACAGTCCCAGGCGCCGTCTTTCATGGCCTCTTTGAAACCCACATTAAAGAGCATCGCTCGATTGAACGGTTGTGTGCCAGTCTCCACAGCAGAGAAAACCAGAATGCACTCAGACTTGGTCATGGGATATTTGCCATTACTTATTAATTTCTTATATCATGGTCAAGTAATAATTATATCTTGGTAATAAAATAAACAAGTCAGAAGCATATGTCAGGCTTTCCAAACACGGTCAGGCACCACTTACTAATGGGAGGGTTCATTCTGAGGTGCCATTGAGTGACCACAGTGCACAGACATTACAGAGTCATATACACAAATTATGGCTGGGGTGTTAAAGGGGACATCTTGGGAACCTCCATTGTACATGTATGATGCCGGTGACTGATGATGCCATCACAGGGCACATGACTGCATACCGTTTAAAATTTACTTATGGCAGATTTTGGTGACAAAGAAGAAAACTGGATAGCTGTTACTATCTACTCTACTGGTACACTACATATATGCTTTACTTCAAATACGCCAGTTCATACAGACTATGTATGACCAAAAAATAAAGATAAAACAATAAAAAAGCATTATGCATAAAACAACTAAATGAAAGCATTGCTGTACTTTCTACTGTTGGTTTCTATGATATGAAGAATGAAGAAAGGAGTGGTACAGGGACATGGCTCAGCAGTCAAGAGCCCTGTCTGTTCTAATGGAGGAACCAAGTGTGTTCCCAGCACCCATGTCATGTAGTTTACAACCATCTGTGACTCCAGCTCCACCGGAGTCTGGTTATCTCTGACCTCCTCAGGACCTGTACTCAATTGCATCCACCCACTTAAAGTAATAAAAATAATTAATTTTTATTAAGACAGGAGGGAGAGGGTGTGGGCTTGATGATAAGAATGCTTGCCTGGTATTCCTGGAATCCTGGGTTTGCTCCCTAATGTGGGGGATGGGAGAAGATTAAGGCAGGAAACTGAGGGCAACTCACAAGCAGACCCTCCTCTACATTAACAAGACGGGCATCCTCTCAAAAGGACAGATGGACTCTGAAGGACTTTGAAATCTTGATGTTTACAGTACACTGAGAGCAATTAGACAACACACACCCAAGCTTCCCTCCTATTGTAGCCATCCTACATCACAGTGCACTGGCAACAGTGTCCTTTCTTCCCTCTTTTCCTGCTTATGGGAAGACATGAACATTTTACCAGAGACAATAGAGGAACGTATTACATAAAATCCAAGTTCCTATATTGCAACCGCTTTCCTTTATTTACAATGATGATACAAGTCTGCTGCAAGCAGCACAGCTTGCTTTGGCATCTAAAGATTAAAAACATTTACAAGTGCCTTAGCACATTTCACATTTCACAAAATCATTCCCCAACACTTAAGAAAAAGGATTTGGGAGGACTGAAGAAGCCACTCAGGGTAACCAACATCAGTGTGTGCCCTCAGGAGAGACATCAGTCAGTGTGCGGCGCAGGTCTGCATGGACCTGAAGTCACAGAAAGCACAAGGCTTTTATAAGGCAGGGAAGGTAAATTGTAACATTATTATTGGCTCATCAATATTGGCTTTTATATGCTATTTTTTTCCAAGGTTTTAAGATCTGCTTCTATTAAATGTGGACATGATACTTAGAAGTTTAGGCAGAGTAGTTTCCATTTCTAACCTATCTTTGTCAGCCAATAGTGTGCTTCTTCAACTCTTCGGCATATTTAGTGTGGCATCTGCGTCCACACTTGGATGCTATCTCTTGCTTTGTTAACTTGAGACATTTTCTGGACTTCTTTCTCTGGAGGCAGAGGAGTTAAACCACACTGCCACCCTTCCCACCCACCTCCCAATATGGCTGCCTTGATTTGGGGTTGAATTAATGAAGTGTAAGTTACTAGCACTGTGTAAATATTTCTTCAGTGCTGAGTGAATTGATTTTTTTCTTTGTGCAGGAGATTAATTAGTTTCCTGTATAACTAGAAAGGGCAGTCGATATAACCTACACCTTTAGTAACTGATGTAATTACAGAAATTTCAAATCCTTTCTCCATTCCCTATTTCCTCAGCTCAATTCCCACTGTCCTCAAGGGCCAGCCATGATCACCCATGTCTTTTATGTGGCTTGCTTAATTTGCTGAGGTATGTCTTTCATGTGTGTGTGTGTGTGTGTGTGTGTGTGTGTGTGTGTGTGTTTCATCAACAAATGACTGGAAATGCCACACCCTTGAATTGACATCCTGAGTTGAAAGTTCCAGGGCAAAGTACCTTTCTTTCTCTAGAATCTGAAGGTCAGGCTTCTAGCCACCAGCAATGGCAGGATAGTTCACAATTTCCAATTCCTATCTTACATTTTTCCTTGTAGTCTTCTTTATATCTTTTATTTTGCATTTTATTCTAAAATTGGAAAATACTATGCTTTATAATGGATGTGTGTTTATTCACATGTGCATTGTGGGGGGTCTCTCATCTAAAGACATGTGCTTTTTGCTTCAGGTTGTCTCTCTCTCTCTCTCTCTCTCTCTCTCTCTCTCTCTCTCTCTCTCTCTCTCTCTCTGAGGTAGGGCCTCTCTATGTAGCCCTGGCTGTCCTGAAACTCTCTGTAGACCAGGCTGGCCTGGAACTCACCAAGATCTCTCTGCCACTGCCTCCCAAGTGCTGGGATTAGAGGTGTGTACCACCATGCCCAGCTTTGGAAATTTGTCTTCTATTTTTTCTTTAGCCATTTCCTTCCACATGCTATTTATTTATTTATTTATTTATTTATTTATTTATTTATTTATTTGTTGCTATGGTTTTTCCAGAATTCTGTGAGTGTATTAGTTATACACTAATATATTAAAAATCACAGCAAAACTTGGTGACTTAAGAAAAGTCATAGGTGGGGGATATATCACTCTCTGACAGTGCTGGATCCCTAGTACTAGGAAAACAAACAGAAATAAAACAGGCAGTGGTCATTTACAATGCTGAACTCATCATCTACAGAAATGGAACTCTGAGCAGAGTAGTGAGTCTCGTCTCTGCTTCCTCTTGTCCAAGGTTGTGTCTGGAAACCTAGTCAGGCTGGGTGAGAGATCCACTCTCAAAGTTATTCATTCACATGACAGGCAAGATGATGCCAGGAAGTCATTCTTTCTCTAAAAGCCATTCCAGACAACCTCAAGACAAAGCAGCTGGCCTTCCAAGATGGTCAGGCTGAAGCAGTTATGTGCCAGGAACCTACTCTCAAATCAAGACTGCCTCTTCTGTGGTAGTGGCTCCCCAGGCAACTTAATCTTGTATCCCATGGGCCTCTTGGAGGGTGGTTATCCTCACAAAAAAGTGCTTCTCTTAGACTCCACTTTTTTGTATTTTGGTCCCGCTGTAGGGGTTATTTTGTCTCCTGGCTAACCTACCACATTTCAGTGCCACTGACAACTCTACTACAATTGATCTTCCTCTATGGCAAACATTCTCATTTCAGAATTTTCCCTCAGCTCCATGGGTCCTGACTGTGAGTCTTTTGTTGATTCTGTCTTTGGGGTTTCTTTGTTCTCTCATTACCTTGCTTGACTGTGTCTCCTTTGTGGACATTTTCTTTACAACCTGGAGCTCTGTGGCTGCTATTCATGTGTAGATAAAGTACTAAAAAGCCAAGGAGATCTCCCTAGTGCTCATGTTCTGCACATCACTGTATCAGTAAATAATTATACTCTAATTAAAACCCAACCCAATCACTGTTGGCAATGTCCTGTGCCACCAGAGTCCAAGTTGTCATCATATCCAGTTAGAAGGTTTCTAACTGGTCTCCCTGTTTCCTTCCTGTCTCACCTATGGCTCATTCTCTACATTGAACCCATTGGAGTTTTTTAAGTTGTCTGCATATCACATGATAATTTAATTTACTATCTCTCCCTTCCAGAACAGTAAGGGGCTTTGGTTAGTGTGGTGGAGAGTCTCAATGAGGGGTTGTCTACAAATCAGGTTGACCTGTGGGCATGCCTATGAAAGGTGTACCTCAATTACATTGATTAGCATCGTAAGACCAAGCCCACTGTGGTCAGTATCATTCCCTGGCGTGGGGTCCTGAACTATATGAGAACAGAGAAGATGAAAGGAGAAGCAAGTATGAGTGTATTCATCTGTCTCTGCTCTAGACTGTGGGTGAGGCATTTCATCTCCATTTATAAAATAGCTATCCAATCTTTTCCTCATTAGCCCTTTGTTGGAAGTGAGTTCTGGTCTTTTTGTCCCATTCCCTTAAATGTGCTTGCCCGTTTCTATAAGAAGTCCTTTTACAATTTCTCCTCCATTCTCAGTAGAACATAAAACAAAATTAATAATGGACAAAGTGTGGACTAACTTGTATTACTAAAGGCTGCTATTTTTTGTGGCGATTAATCAGATTTTTACTGAAGACTATTTTTTACTAAGGACTGAAGAATATCCAATTAAAAGTTTTTCTTTTGTGGTTTATTCTGAATTTTAAAAAATACACTTCTTGGCTTTTACTATGTGGTTCATGTGAACCTTCTTCAAGTTATATCCTAGCACACGTGTGGCATGTCTCTAGCTATTGTGTTCTCCTCACTCATCCTTAGAGGATCTCACTGTGTAGCTCTGCCTGGCCTAGTTGTTGCTTCCTGTGCAGACTGCGCTGACCTTTTCACAGAGATCCAACTGCCTCTGCCTCCCAAGTGCTGAGGTTAAAGGCATGTGAGGTGATGCCTAGCCCAAGCGTGTGTACTTTTCAAGATGGCAACTTATGCTATAAAAATTGACCAATTTAAAAATGATAACAAATCGGAATGTTAAGCTGCTTTCCCAATAGTTGTCGCTGTGGATCTACATTGCTATCAGAAACTGCTAGCTTTCATTTTGTTCTAACGTCAGCCACCCATAGTGAGCAGGAGGTGAGCTCTTTCTGGAGTCTGGTGCTGTTGAATGACTCTGAGTATGTGATGAAGACATCGACCAGAGCAGCTGAGATCTGCATTTTAACTTTCAAGTCTGTTGGGTGTGAATCTCAGCCTTGACCGATATAAACCAGGAACACACATTTGATAGTACAGGGCAACTGAAGGACCGAGGGGTGTGCATGGCTTTGCCGCCTCTCTGAAGATGAAGTGAGAGTTAAGGGTCTGCTAAGTCATTAACCCACAAGGATGAACTCACCTCCAAAAAAGGGGCTAACAAGGAAAACCTTAGCTGTTTTATAAATGGTGATGGAATCATTGAAAACCCATAGGCCCAAAGAGAATTGCTCAATCCTTCATCTTTGTTTCACACCACATATAAAAGATTAACTCAGAGGGATTAGCCCAAATGGGAGAGTTAAAAGCATGAATGTTCTGCAGGAAAACATTCTGAAAGTACCAAGAACCATTCTCAACTGCTAAACAAGAAACCAGAAATATGAAAAAAATCAAGTAACTGGACTTTATTAAAACTAACATCTTTACTTTTCAGTAAAACCCTGTCTGTGGTTGGGGATGTATCTCAGTGGGAGAGTACTTAAATAGCAGGTGCAGGGCCCTGGGTTTAATCCCAGCACTGAAGGGGAAAAAATCAAATACTATCAAGAAATTAAAGGGCAGACCATAGTCTGAAGATAATTACTTGCCAATCATGACACACAAAAGACCTACAACTAGAACACACAAAGAATTCTGCAAAGCAACAAAAAGGCACTTCTATTAAAATAACAGAAAAAGATGAAACAGAGACTTCCTAATCTATATGAACAGCAAAGGCATAAAAAAATGACCACCATAAATCGGTAAGAAAAATGAAAGGTGCAACTAGACTCTACAGACTCATTAACCATGGCAAGTGTGGGAAAGAATGTAACGTGATTGGAAAGGCCAGTATCATGTCGAGCTTTAATTGCCAACTTGACACAACCTAGAATCACCCCAGAACAGAGCCTCAATGAGGGACTGTCTATATTGGGTTGGTCCACAGGCATGTCAGTGGGGATCATAATTAAGTTCATTGGTGTGGGCAGAGCCAGCCCACTGTAGGTGGCACTGTTTCCTGCCTGTCTGAAACTATGAGTGGAAAAAGGAGGCTGAGATAAGCCAGCAAGCAGGTAAGCACACAATCACTTATTCTTAGCTCCTGGCTGTGGGAGTGGTGGCTATTTCAAGTCCCTGCCATGCTGGACTATGACATGGAGTTGTCAGCTAAAATAAGTCCTTTCCCCTGAGCTGCCTTTTATTGGGATATTTTATCACAGCAACAAAGATAAAAGAGTCAGTATGCATGAGTACAAAACACACTGCTGACCATTGAGGTTACAGAAAGTGAGGGCTCTTCAAAGGTTAGCACACTATTTTAGGTTTCTGAGACAGAGCTTTACAAATGAATAGAAATGAAATAACTACACTTCTAGTCTTTAAACAAAAGGCACAGACTGCCACAGCAAAGCAAAACCACTTCAATTCTATATAGACTATGCCAGCTTGCATAGTACCCTTTTGAAGCAAATAGAATGGAGTTTTTGTTTGTTTTGTTTTTTTGCTTTGCCAATAAAATTTGTTTATTAATTCTACTCTCTTCCTGTTTATCTCTTGTTTGGAAACAAACCTAGACTCCCATCTGGAAGGGATCCTGGGCATCACAGATTTGAGTCTCTGTGTAATTTCTTTGTCTTCGGATGGTCATTTCCTTACTGAGCTGGACTCTATTGTGAAAGGGATAGTGTTCTAGGCTCACATCAACCTAAGTGCAGCTGAAAAGCTATGGGGGTGTGTGTCTACAACAGAAACAGCCAAGGCTCTACTACCAAGAAATGTAATTGTGAACATGGGAAACTATAAAAACAGAATAGAAAATGCCCATTACACACCATTTCTCTCTTTAAGGATTCCTACCTGGCTCTCCTCAGTTACCCCTAGTTACCTATTAAGGTTGAGGCATCACTAGCTTTCAAGTCTAGCCAGCTGTACTCACCCCAAACAAAGGAATCCCCCATCAAGAGTTATCAATGCTTCACATTGACACAACAATATGAAACCTTTATCCTTCACTTCATGTATCTAAATTCATAGGTCAGAAACAGAAAGCACTTTCTAAATAGAACACAGTGGGTGTGTCTAAGGTCACTCATAATTCAGAATAGGATAGGATGGGGGGGGGGCTGGAGGGATGGTTCAGAGGTTAGGAGCACTGGCTGATCTTCCAGAGGTCCTGAGTTCAATTCCCAGCAACCACATGGTGGCTCACAACCATCTGTTATGAGATCTGGTGCCCTCTTCTGGTGTGCAGATATACATGGAGGCAGAATGTTGTGTACATAATAAATAAACTTAAAAAAAAATAGGACAGGATGTTGATGACACTCCAACATGCACCATCATGAGCCCCAGACAGTTGCACAGCACTAACTATCCCGAGTATCCTGTATTAGAAAAGAAGGAGTGTCCCCAAGTAAATTGCCTTTTAGTTTGTAAGAACAAAGCACACTCATAAGAAAAGCACAAGTGGAACAATGTTACAAGTCCAGCATTTAACCCTGCAGAATGAGCATCAGCCAGTTACTTATAAACTATTTTTAAAATCCAGTAGGTAGTATAAAGCCATAAAGCATATCAAAGCCATCATCTCAAAGTCAACCATAACCTCTGCTCAATTCATTTAACCACATTGTAATTATTACAAGAAAAATTACAGGATCAGTCCAAAATATGATTTCATTCCATTGTAAATCCAAGGATGAGTCACCGATGGATCTCGGCTGAGTATTCTTAATCAAACTCCATCTGAAGTTGAAGTTCTAAAATACTTGGTGGCATTTTGAAAACTGTCCTCACCTGTTCGATGACATAAAAGGCAAATTCCAGCCGCTGTTTCTGGAGCATCGGAATCAGGTGCAGGAAGAAAATGGGAAGATGTTCATGGCGGTTACGGAAGGGGATGAGAACTGCCACCTTCAAAACAGAACACAACACCTGCAGCATGAGTAAGGCAGTGTTGCAGCAGGCCCCGCAAGTGCACGCAACAGCTGAGCCTAGGAAACGCCTAGTGCCTTCAAGTCATAGCCTAGGAATATTCTCATCAGACTTACACCATGTGTTCAGACAGGTTCGGCCCTTGCTTCACACCCATTGAGGTCCTGTGAAGGTAGAAAGGACTCTCTCTCTATCTCTCTTTCTCTCTCTCTCACACACACACACACACACACACACACACACACACACACACACACACACACACACACATACACACTTACACTTCTAGGATTCAAACTTTGCTGGAGAAGCAAAATCTTACAGGTCAGATGATTCTGGCCTTCACAAAGCTAAAGTGTCTTCTAATTCACTTTCCTTAATTTCTGAGTTAAACTGGTTTTACTGTTGCTGTTAACTTGCTAATAAAACTTGAAATTGACACAGTAAATTTCTATACATGATGAATTCCAAAACTCACCAAATTTTCAAACAATTTAACAAATGAAAAATATTACTAAAACATGTCTATACCACTCTATAATATGGATTTTGAAACAGCCATAAACCTGGAGTTTATCTAGACCAAATATATTGACCCAAATAAATAATTAAAAAATCTACAAATAATTGAGAATGCTAAGTTCTAGGACTCATTTTACTTCTAAAATCAAGACATGACCTTGGGCATGTCAACAACAACAAAAATCTACAATGGAGCTGTGGGTGTAGTCAAAGGTGAAACACTTGCTTCGCATGCATGGGCCCTGGATTTAATTCCCAACACCAGAAAAAGAAAACAACAAAAGTGATATTGAGCATGTATACTGCCAGAATTGCAAATGGGACAAGACTGAGTCAAGGGTTTACTTAGAAGGAGAAGATCCAGTTTAGGAAACTGAGGGTATCTAGACTAGAAAGGCCATGCTTCTCTTTCCTTTACTGATGTGATAGCTAGGACAGAGACAATCTTTGAGGCTGGCATTGCCATGCTGCCATTGGCGGAGTTACATTTTGTAAGTCATAGGAACCACTGGCGCCCTGTGGAGCCTACTCCAAGAAGGTATCTCTGAGCTCAGGAAAATTATAGATACTTAAGTGAAGAAACTACCAAATGGGTGGGAGTCTGTATTAAAGATAGCCCACATGAATTAAATATAATTAGGTGGAGGAGCTGAACATATAAGGATCAGCAAATACCAAGTTATAGCCTTTGATATAGTGAGTTACTCAGTGGAACATTTAAAACACCAAGAGCTGGTTTTGGTTTGAAGGTTTGGTGGTGGTGGTTGTTTTGTTGTTGTTGTTGTTGTTGTTTGTTTGTTTGTTTGTTTGTTTTTTTATCTTAGTAAGAAACTGAGGATGTTATAAAAGAAAGTGTCCTGGAAAACAAAAGGAGCTATTTTAATAGTAAATGCATGTCCAAATTATAATCAGATGTTACCACATTTTAAGTGACATGCCTAAAGCTGTGTGTTTTAATATCTTTAAAATTCACTTATATTGCCTATCTGTGAAGCAATATTCTTAATAGTTTGTAATTCATTGTCGAGAAAAAGAGTCCAGTATCCTATGGTCATTCATGCCGGGGTTATTAGCTTTCCTTCCACATGTGTGGACTTGCAGAAGCCCCTCTCTGGTGGATGCACCAGGGGAGATGGAAGGCATCTGTATGGTTACTGCCTTCTACACTTTGTCTTTCCAAGTCCTTCCTCACCATATCTTGTTCAAAAAAAATTTACACCATTCAGTTACTTCCCATTTCAAAACCACTAAACTTACTGGATTATCTGTGCACTTTCCCCCTTGCTTATGTCCTCCTAAGTACACTATGAAAAAACAATCAAGAAAGTGTCTGCCATGTAGACTTCACCCAGCAAGGCCCTGCCCTGTCTCATACTCTGAAGCACACAACACTCCCCAGCACCTGGCAGCTTTACACCCAGTTGGTTTAGAGCCCACCTAGCTGTTGCCACTGAATTAGATGGAAGCACATGTGAGTTACTGAGCTCTTGTTCTCCTGGGGTGTTTTAGTTCTACCTTCCTTGTCTTCCTCATTTCCAGTGCCTATAGGAACAAATTTCAGACTGATAAAGAAGGGGGCAGTTCTTGTCTGTTCCCCCTACAAGAGTATGATGTCTGATAACTTTGTTCAAGAATTGCCTTGTGTCACTGAACATCTCATGTAGGCTGAAGCAGGTGGCTAACATCTATCCCTGAGGGACCTTGGGCGAGATGAGGAACTTTGAGCCTATAATTAGGACAGAAGCATCAAGCCTTACCCTATAGGTATCAGACCCCATATGAACCCTGAGCAGAAAACCAACATCACAGAAAAACAGCCAAAAAGCACTGATTTGTTCCTCTCCAATTCCCCTGTGGAAACATGCCCACCTCCTTAGAATGCCTGACCCATGAAGACTCTTCCTCAACCCTGCAGCATTAGGAATACCCACAGAGTTCTGGACTTTAATATTGGAAGACTGTGGTGCAAATGGACTTGGTACTTAAAGAAAGGGAGCCGAAAAGATTAAGACTCAAGTGGAGAGCAGACTTTAACCTGTGTCTAGTAACTGCTTTCTTCCTTCTCTCAGAATTCTATGGCATGCCAATGGGGGCATTGTGAGAATCATACATGCAGGCGAAGGCAGAGGGAAATTAAACATGGCAAGTACAGCTCACCTCTAAAGGGCTTCAAACTTCCTCCTGCTGTTTCAGTTCCAGTTAAAATTAAAGACTATATTTCACTGTGATGGCTGTTTTTGGTTGACAACTTGACTACATTACGTAAAACCCAAACAGCTGAGCACACCTAAGAGGGACTTTCTTCTTAATTAATTTATTGGAAGTCGGAAGACCACTTCTAATTTGGATCTTTTGAAACATCCACGTTTAACCTGGGCCACACATTTTGATAGCAACCTGTATGAAGACCTGGGAGAAGGAAGATTGCTTTCTTTGCCTGATTGTTCTTGCTCTCACTGGCATGTCCATTCCTTCACTGGCATTATAACCTACTTCTTTGGGATTGCAGCATATACTGAAGACCTGTTGAGACATCCAGTCTTGTAGACTGAGAAACTACTGAATTCTTAGACCTTCCACTGGTAGACAACCACTGTTGGACTAGCTGGACTACAACCTATAAGTCATTCTAATAACACACACACACACACACACACACACACACACACACACACACACACACACATTCTATAAGCTCTGCTCCTCTACAGAACCTTGGCTAATAAATTCACGAAGCTGGTGCAAAGCTCAACTAAGTGTTATCATACAGCATCTATATAAAAGAAGCTAAATTTTTTAATCCCTAAATTACTTTGCTCCCAGAAATTCCTCCAATCCTATCCAGTACATGAGTATACAGCCCACTTATAACTCTAATTAAGAATGATCCCTGTGGTTCCAGTTGTCCCAGAAAGCAAAAGAAAATATGCTAGAAAGTTTAAGACCCATCCAATACAAACCACAGTAAGCACAATGAATACTTTTTCTGATCCCTAACATGAGTATGAAACACATGTCATGCCCCAATGGCATCCCTCAGTCTTCACGATTATGTTTTTTTTTTTTTTAACATAGCATTCAGCATATGCACTCACCACTCACCACTTTCCAAAAACATTCTCTAAAGTAGACTGTTTCATATAGATACAACTGTTCAGAGAGGATCTAGCAAGAAATATGAAAATTAATTTATGCAATTATAAAAGAGTATTTTCCAAATTCATACTGAAATCCATTGAAGCAGCTCTGTAACTTGCTTGAGGTCATGAGAAAACTGAACTTTTAATTTATTCACTTTTAATCAGGCCACAAAGGCATTTATTAATTTCAAAAGGCCAACTCAACAAAACTGTGTCGTTTACTCATGCCAAGTGTTCTGCTACACATGAGAGATGCAGAGAGAAATGCATGCATCCCTGATCAGGAGTTCAAGGTCAGGTCAATGATGTCACATGATCACATGATCTTTATTAGACTATGAACAGCACATAATTCTCCTCCCTACTTGGGTTTTTTTTTTTTTTTTTTTTGGTACTAACAATACAAATACATTAGAACACTTGTATTTTTTAAAGGACTATTTCCAGTTAAAGTCACATCAAAACCCTTGAGGGCCTAACACCTAACTGATGACTTCTGTTTTCCTTTCAGGTGCATAGTACCACACTGGACTCTAACACAGCACCACTGTACACATTTTCATTCAGGGTCAGTTTCACAGTATTGACAGCAACTTCCAACCAGTTCTCATTGTTGTTGTTTTGTTTCTTCTAGTTTGCTTGTTTTAGTGCACAAGAGGCTGGCATACTCCCTTACAGTGTTTCAAACAAAATATGAAACAGAATTCTGATCTGTCAACTGCCTGTGCTCTGCCTTTTCAAGTTTGAGCATGACCTCTAAGAGACAGCGTAGCAGGCTCAAGCTGAATGCAACTGAAAATAAGGATGTTAGCATCTTTCCTGTGAGTTCTCAGTTCCAGAAACTGGTGGGAAATGCCTGAAGATATTAGCAGTCATTGGCAGTAGCCTCTCCTCTGAACAAGGTAGTACCACAAAGAAATTCATCCTCTGATTTAAACTGGTCTCACTTCTTCACCTGAGACCCTGAGTTGAACACACCTGAACACACTCTGTGCATACACAAATGCACTTACAGTCTTCAAAGTAACAACACTGACCATGAGCAAACTATAAAGGGCTGTGCGTTAAATACACACATGCTTTCATTTTATCAAAACTGAAAAAATATCTTGCTCTCTGTTTTGAACCAAGCACATTCTTGCCTCCAAATGCTTAGTCACTGCCATGTAGCCTTTGAGGAGAACTGCCTCATTTTCCAGCTGGGCTCACAGTCTTTGGGCCTCCAGTGGCCTCCTGGCCCCATC